TTCCCCATTGCTTCCAGTTCTGTATATCCAAGAGCACTGAATACATCTCTTGATAGATGACAGCAAAGGTAGCGTACATTGCAATCCAAACATTGGAGAACAGTCAGCCCATGCTACAAAGGAACAGATCCAATAGATCAGGGGTGTCAAACTCAAGGTCCGCGGGCCAGATGAGCTCCACATAGTGCTTAGATCTGGCCCACGGGGTCACCCTGGAAATAAGCAAAGGATCGGCCCGCAGTGCCTCTGCCAGCAAAAATGGAACTTGGGAGGGCTGTGTGTGGCCCTTGCGAGCTCCATTTTCCCTGGCAGAGAGCTGCAGGAGGCCATCGCAGCTGAAAACAGAGACTGAGAGGGCCACGTACAGCCCTTGCGGGCTCTGTTTTCACTGGCAGAGGGCTGCAGGATGTCGAGCTGACCATGTCCACCCCGAGCACACTCACTCAGCCCCCCTCCAAGGTCAAACACAACCCTGATGCGGCCCTCAATGAAATCGAGTTTGACACCCCTGCAATAGATGATTCAATGCATGGTCCAATTTTTGGTGGGGAAGAGATTAATATAGGTATCTTTCTCAATGATGAACTAGAAGCAATCAATTTTCAGAATTCTTTTTTGTTGTTTATAAGCATCAATGGTCCAATTTTATCTTTTAATAAAGTATGGCTGGGGGAGGGGTTAATTTTCAGAGGTGATCTCTGCAGAGTTCCTTTATGGAAATGGTCCTTTTTTTCTCATTTTTAATAACAAAACTATGCAGTTAATAAATACCCCCAAATTTCATGTTTTTCATCTTGATATGATTTAGGAGACTGAATACATCACCAAACCTGACTTGGAACTATTAAAGCTGGACAATCTGCGAAGCCTTCAGACTATGAAGATTAAGCTCATGTTGGAATGACAAGTACGGAAGGCCAAGTGCATTATTTACTTGTCCAGTTGTTTCCAAATATAGTTTCTTGATGTTTCCAGCATTTCTTTTAGCTCAGAGTTTCCCAACCTTCCGGCAACGGGTGGGTGGGGAGAAAGGATTGTTTGTGTGACTGCTCACGCAAGTGGAGATGTGCACGAGTGCTTGCCCGCCACTTCTGCAGCCTGGGGGTTGGGGATCCCTGCCTTAGCTGACTAAACCCATAGAGAGTATTCCATTGCTATATATCAGGGTATCAATTTCTGGTGAGAGTGATACCTCAAACGGATGCCTTTTGCAGGGTCTTCAGCATTCTTTCCCATTTTTTGATAATACTTGTTCAGAATTCCCCAGCCTACATATCCAGTGAAACTGAACAGGTGCAAACTGTCTGTGACTAAAGAGACATTTAGATAACAATAAGAATGCAAACTGCTCTATTACATGTTTTATATTCTCTCAGAGTTTTCTACAACACTGCTTATAAGAGATTTGTTATTTATCCCAGAAAAACAAAAAAGGGAAATGAATCTAACAAGCTAGCCAGAGAATGCCCACTGAATCAGATAACTGATTGGAATGATCAGCAAGACAGAATGTTTAATATATATGTATAAAAAGCAAAAATGGATTAAAAGTGGCCAAATTTAGATTAAAAACATATATTCTAGAAATCTGTAATGACTGTGAGCGATTAAATACAACTTCAGACAGGTGCCATTATGAAGCATATCAATATAATTCATCCTGGTTTTTTTTTAGGATTCTACAATTTCTCTTTCTAGATTATTCTTTCCTTACTGAAGCACTTAGCGATACTATAGACCACGGGTGTCAAACTTGCCACATCACGTTGCTGTCACACGAAGTTTTTCCCATTCACGGAGCTGGGGTGGGTGTGGCCTGCGTGTGATGCATCTAACCCGCAGGCTGCCAGTTTGACACTCCTGCTATGGACCTTGTTACCTGCCCTTTTTTGTTTTTTCTTCTATCAAATGAAACAGTTTTTTGCTTCTACAGTTCCAAATTATAAACACCCAAGTAATTGTTTTCACAGCTTGTCCAGTTGAACTTTGCATAGATAAGATCCTTTGTAGTTTGGATATGATGAAACCTGTCAATTCTATTTTGATCTTTGCGCTAAATCTACATCCCATCAGGTCCGGCAGAAAAGGTATATTCTGGGTTCCACCTGACAGGACCCAGATTACCTGACTTTTCTACAGTGGCTCCCACCCTCTGGAAGATCAGACCTCCTTGCTCCCAAGGTGATGTTAGCCTGCGTGCCTGTTAGTCTTTAGTAAGGTCTTGTACATGCGGTTCTTGCAGCAACTTTGGGAGCCGATAGGGAACCTGTGCAATTGTTATATAGGCAATCCTCGATGTATAACCACAATGGAGCCCAAAATTTCCATTTCTAAGGAAGACAATTGTTAAGTGGGTTTTGCCCCATTTTATGACCTGACCACAATTGTTAAGTGAATTACTGCCTTTGTTAAGAAGCTGTTAAGTGAATCTGGCTTCCCCATTGACTTTGCTTGTCAGATGGTCACAGAAGACGATCACATGACCTCAGGACGCTGAAACTGTCAGAAATACATGCCAATTGCCAAGCATCCAAATTTTGGTCACAAGTCCGTGGGGATACTGCAACAATTGTAAATGTCACAAATGGTCATAAGTCCCTTTTTTCAACTAATCACAATAGGGAGGGGCATATCAAGTTGACAGATAGGAAAAAGGGGGTGGGATATATTCATAGGAAACCTACCAGGGTTGTTGAGATTGACCATTCAAGCACATGATAGTTTTTGATAGATGTCTAATTGTTGGTTTCATATTGGAATCATAAATAAATTAACCAGTTGATTATATTCAGCATTTTGTTGAGAAAAGCATTAGAAAGGCATCCATACAGAAACCTCCCCTCATTTCTTATTTTTAATATGTGTTAGAACTTTAAATTTCCAGAATTCCTACTCAGCATGACCATGAAGAGGAAGCTGATTTATACATGTAGTACAGATACATGGATTATATCAAATTACCTATTTTAAAGATTATCTATCCTGTCCTGCTCATAACACTGTTTGCAATAATGCATGTTAACTGAATTCAAATACAGCATGCTAGTTTGAAAAGTGAAAAGGTAAAATAAATAATCAACGTTATATAGCTTGCTATTCCAACTCAAACAATTGATGCACATGCCAGTTTTGTACCCTACCGTTTCAATCCAATTATTCGAAATAAAGAAATTAAGATGGCATTAGGAGATTAAGTGAAGGTTGCAAGAATGGATAAGAGAGATTTTAGGTTTCTTAAGCATTCTGCTCTGTACTAATACAGTAGATTGGATGTTTAGATATTATCCCCAAGCCACATAGAAACTGCTTTCTCTGAGCAACTCCTACATAACTGGGCCAGGTTTAAATGCTGAGGCATGCTTTGGATACAGGGCAATGTGATCAATGAAATTGCTTGACAAAGAACAAAACATGAATGAAAAGCAATGGTAAGGAAGGGTAAGGAAGAACAAGGCCTTAGTCCTGCAGACTAGAACATCTCCAATTCAGACATTAGTTTAACATGTAGGAACAAAACCTGTTCCAGTTTGGTGCAAAGGGAACCAATGTTAACTGGTTCACAGAGGTACATGCGTGGTTGAGATTTATGTTTCCAAAATGCAGAAAATGTATGAGTTCAAAGGCAGTTGTTCCCCAGGAACCTACAGCAGCGAACATAACTTTCTCTCCTCCAATTTTCCCCCACTGCCCTTGAAGTAGATTAGGCCAAGAAAGAGCAATGAGCCCACTGACCTTCCATGGCTGGGTGTAGACTTGAATCTGAATTTCAGAAGTTCTAATCCAACACCTTAACATTTTTTGCAGGCAACAAGCTCCTAGTCAATAACATATTGTAATGATGTGTGGAATGACTTTTGGAGGAGAGAGGAAGAGATGCTGCCTAGGGAACAATCACATAGAAGAAGGCCTAGCCTGAGGTTGCATAAAGGGCAGTGAAAAATCTTCAAAGAGAAACCTCCCTATTTTCTCAGTCTGTAAAGGAGATGGTGAGAGATTTGTACTTTCAGACTAATGAGGTTCTGTAAATGGGGCCTCATAATAGATAAGACTTAGCTCATTTTATGGTGCTTCCTGTCTAGGCTGACTGGGAAGGCTGATTCCTGCTTTTACCCCTTCTCTTCTTGCTATCCAATGCCATATTTCCGCCCCCCCCATTTGCAGATTCCAGTTGGTAGGTTAATTCTAGAAACATACCTAAGGATATTGTTTTGCATTTTTTCCCATCTTGTATTTGTGCCAGACATAGAAAGAAGCCAAATATATTTCAGCTAAAAATATTTCAGAGATAGATTTTAGGAAGGACTAATGCAACAGATTAGCAGCTTCTTGCTAAGCAGATTCTTTAAAAGCATGGGCTGAACGTATTCTAAGCATGATAAATTCTATAACTAAAAAAATCAATACAAGAGAAATCAAGAGATGCATTTTAACATATACTGTGGAAGAGTAGTTATTACTTATGCAATAGAAATAATAAAGGTAGCTTAGTTTGTCATTAAGTACTACACTGCCTTTCTACACTTTTGGCTATACAATTTGGGATGAACACCCTTTGAATGGTATGAGAGTAAGAGGAAAAATTGCTGACTACAGGAACCAGAACTACTCAAGTGACTCTGAGGACACAGATAAACCTCCAAGTGCTTCAACCACCCTCTAAAAGGATGCAAATGACCAGCTGTCTGCAAGGAATATAAATCCTTCCGTTCCCCACTATCTTGTCAGAGCTGAAGAAGCTTCTTAGATGAGAAGCAAAACATCTTCAAAGAAAAAACAAGAAAATCCAATTGCCCCCTGAAAAAGCACCTTTGGGATAACCATGACCTGGATGACTGAGAATCTCTACAGACTTTTACACTGCCTTTCATTTCTGCAACACTAAATTGTACTGGAATTAAAAGCTTAGTTACAAAAAAAAAGTTTAAACATCGCAATCATGCATTATTTAACGTTATTTTTTTAAAAAAAGAAATCTGTAGTGTTGAATCTTTGTGGCTTACCATTAGTGAATGTCTATTGGCTGAAAGAAGGCCTGTCCCATATCCTGATCCGAGGCCTCCCATAGCTCCATTATGAGAAGGGCCTATTAAGCTATGGAGGTCGCTATGACTACCAGGCATGGCAGTTGAAGGTCCCACTGCATGGTTCCGGAGAACATGAATAGCATCATCCAGTCTTTCCAAGCGGTCTTCGATTCGGCTTTGCTGATAGTTTATGACAAAAAATAAGAGAGCATCAGAAAAATGTAATAGGCTGTCTCCTGTTTGAGCAGAACTCACATAAATGGTGGATCATATATTTTGCACTGCTACTGCTGTGTGTCAGGCAGTTGAAACCAAAGAGGATTGCTTGTAGCTGAGCTGTTTCTGAATCTGTTTCACAAACAGATTTATTAAGGGTATGCTGCTTAATTTTTTTCCCCTTTGCTCACCAAAATACTGTAAATAAAAAAACTGACACCCAAAACTAGCCTGCTAAGATACTATGAAAATTCTGTTTTCATTTACATGGGCAAAACAAAACAGTTCATGTTTGTTGCCCCAGGATCGTGAAATATTTTGTGTCAGAAATATCAAATTGCCATGACCTATTAAATTATTTCTGTATGCTAACTTCTTATCTAAGGCTTATTTACTTCTCACTGTTTTAACTGGAGCTGTGAAAATTGATATGTGGAATTCTATGATCAAAAATAGCCTGCATTCGGACATATATTCCAATACTCAAAAAGAAGAATAAGAAAAAAAATACGGTATTTTATCCATTTACAGCACAAACATCTAAACAGGTTTCAGAACACCAGAGCAATTTAAATAAGTTAAACAAGTACATTGCTGTCTGGGGAATTCTGTGAATTGAAGTCCACCCATCTTAAAAGTTCCTAAGATTGAGAAACACTGGTTTACTGGTCTGTCTAAAAAACCTCATCGGGTTTTTAAAAGAAACAGTCCCTTGAAACCACCAATAATTTTCTGATTATTTAAAGTGCAAAGAATTATGGTGGGCATTGTTATTTTATTTTTTTAAGGCCGAGACTTAAGATGATATAAGGTAAAGCAATGTGTCTGGTTATATTCTGCCAAAATTCTTCATTATACAATTCTCAAGAATGTTTCTGAAGTGGCTACTTCATTCTTACTGAAACCACATGAGAAAAAAGACTGGTGTCAACATCCTTATTTAATATATTATGCAATGCTCAGTGGAAAAACACTACTTAATTTCCACCTAATGGAAATGGTGATGTTCCTTTCTTATTCTGAATGTGGCTTCTAGATTAGGACCATTGTACAACTGAAGCTCTTAACTTTCTCTTAGCTTCAGAAATGTTTTCTCACATGGCATTGGGGGCATTTGTGGAAATATATTCTTTGAGGAATACAAAAGGAAGGCAATCCGAGGCATCTTTTGCCACGACACTAGCTGAGCAACTCTTTGTATAGTGGGTCTCATTGAAGGCATTATTCACTTCATCTTGGCAAGCTTTGATTGTTTATCATTGTGACTACAAGACTCATAGACTTATGGGGAAGAGGCCAATAACAAGCTAATATCATTAACCTAAGAAAGTAGGTGTTCTCTCTTCTTGTGGTGATGTCATTCTGGAACCCAACATTCAAAGCAATTTTTTTAATTAAGCCCACAGGCTCTGAAAGGCAGTCTTGACAGTTTTGATGGGCATATATAGCTCAAGGACACCAATACGAGGTTATCTCTTGCCAGAAATATTACCATTGGCATTGGCTCTTATATTGATATTTTGAAAATATAACTGGGTAGCAGAATATAGTTTACATAGATTGATATAGTTTGATGAACTGATATAAGCTAAGATGCTCTCCAAAACAGCAGTACATCATCTTCTTTACAGTTATAAAAGATATTGAGAATGTTACAATGCATGCACATTACGCATATATGTAACACACTGAAACTGATGAATATTAAGAATAGCTTATTATGCTATTTTTTTCCATATACAGTTGAGGCTTGATCATCTTCCTGACTAAGCAAAGTGATCTGTTCATACTTCCATTTACTTATGGGAAAATGAGCCCTTTTTTTCAAAATACTATACTTACATTAGGCCACTCCTTCATTTTGCTTTTTAAGCAAACTAAGTTTGATCTTCTTGTTTTTCTTCTACAAGTATAGATTCCAACCTTACACAGTTCATATTAGACAGCATTCTCTATTTCCATGTGTGGTGTTTTACTACGTAATCATTGCTGATGAGCTAAATATCTATGGAGCTTCTCAATCATCCAGGTCAACTATGACTGAGAATCTCCATAGAAATTTAGCATTGATGATTAGTTTATGCAAAAGAGTATATAGAAATCTGTTGTGCTTTATGGGTGGATCTCCTATTTAGAAATGATCAGGAAAAGAGTGCACTAATTAGTGTTATGCTCCATTAGGAAAATGGATAGGAAAGACAAGAAGACTGCAATAAGATATTAACAGGTAGTTAATATTGAACAGGTAGTTTGCCATTGAAAAACATACCAAAGAATGTAAGGGACCTTCATAATTGGGAGATGATGATGCCTGCCCTCCATTTCTAGACCAAACAGCTGTTCCTGCTAATAGTAAAATGGGAGTTACAATTGGAACTATGCAAACAAAATGTCTTTTCAAAGACACTGAATAATACTGTAGATATGTACATAAGATTTCCCAACAGTCATATTAAACCACATCTCTTGTGCAGAATGTTGAAAACAAATATTTATTATGCAGCCCCACCCAGAAGCCACATCATGTCTCCAAAGAAGCCACATCATGTCTCCAAATTGCATGCCAGCATATAAGATTTCATCTATTTTGTAGTTGTATATCAGAAAGCAAGTGGAAATTGATATATATTTAAAATAAATAAATAAAAGAATTGTAGCAAGATCCTGTTAGTTTAACCATAGCAGGAGGCATTATCAATAATTTTCATTTATTATTATCAGAGAAAACTCTGTGGCAAGTTTGTTGGTTGGTCTATTGGTCTGTAGCAATGCAGTTTTTACTTAAATGTTTACATTCAATGCATTCTAAAAATGTAAATTCTAAATTCTTGTAACTGATAGAGGTTGTTACCTCTTTTGTTTTATTTAAGTCTTTTCAATCAACTACTGTAACATCATATTTATTGCTTTTTAAAAAAGAGCAAAATACAAGTGTCAATAGTATAATAAATTAGTTTTCTAAGAAAATCTCACTGAGTATTCTAGGATCAAGTGGAGTTTTAAAAACTCTCTCCTTACAGAATGTGTTTATGAAGTACAATAATATAGATACTGGAAAAGATATTTCTGTATATGGTACAATAATTCACTAATACTGAATAACTATGAAGACAGAAGACTTTTTCCTAGCTCATTTATGGCACAGTCTTTTTTCATGAAGTAAAATCACTGGGAGATACATCAGTCTTCTTTAATTTGGGGTCCTGTAGCCAATCAATAGGCACACATTATTGTTGTAACACATAATTCCTGGTTGAGCAAGCTTAATACACATGAAAGCAAAATATTAACTTTCAAATCTAAATTAAGGGATTAATCATCCAGAGGTCCTTTTAGATCTTAGATGAAAGTTTACTCTGGGACAATAACAAAAATAGTATCATTTTGGAAATAGACAGAACGGTTCATATCAATCTCTGCTGTCAAGATATTACATTGTTGACATTAAGTATGTTTTATGGAATAATTGTTTAACTTAGATAGCCTTAGGATATTTTTCTTTTCTTCTCCATTTATTTATGATGCATACACACACACATACACATGCAAGCATATACACACAATCATTCCCTCAGCCATATAAACTTTGCTGCATGGAATTGAAATACTTTCCAGACACAAGACAGACTTTTCTGTCTTGAACTTCAATTGGTATTCTTTTTACTGATAAGATAAAAACTGATAGTAACTCCTCTCTTCCTGCCTGTCTGAACTGCAGGAAGTAAGGCTGTGAACTTGCTAGATTGGAAAATGTAGTATACATGATGTTATGACTGTCTGCTAAATCTCTAAAGTCTTGCTTACTCATGAATTAAATATTCAATCTCTTTAACCTTGGCATTTATTCTCCAGTACCATGTAGGAATGCTTTGTTTTTGCCATGAAATCACCCTTAGAACAAGTTGAACTATATTATAGGAAGAACATAATAATGGAAGAGGAGACCATATATTAGAAAGAGTCACACTTTCCTTTTAGCAATTCACATTTTCTCAAAAGGAAGAGCTTGGAAAGAGGAATACATTCAGACTTATATACAGTATATTCAGAGTAAACCAGAGTAAAATTTCTGTGTCATGACAAACGGACAAATGTATTGATTAGTTTTAGATCCAACCCAATGTATTTTATATGTATCCAACCCAACGTATATTCTATTTCCTTAAATCTTTGGGGGAACGTAAGCCCAGTAATAGCAATAGCACTTTACAGCCCCTTCTAAGTGGTTTACAGAGTCAGCATATTGCTCCCAACAATTTTGGGTCTTTCTTTTACCCACTTCGGAAGGATGGAAGGCTGAGTCAACCTTGAGCTTGGTGAGATTTGAACTGCCAAATTGCAGTTAGCTGGCAATCAGCAGAAGTAGCCTGCAGTACTGCACTCTAACCACTGTGCCACCAAGGTTCATTATAATAGTAATAAAGTAATAATAATAGTTGCCTATTATTGTTGCAATAATTGCATATTGTTGCATTTGCAATAATTCTTAAATTCTTCTTTCTGCATGGGTTAATTAATTTATTGTGCAATATCTATGTCATTAATGCATGGTTTCAGAAAACAAAATAAATGGTGTACATAAGGGATGTTCAGAAACCAAGTTGAGTATTCAAGAATCAAGGTTGTTTACTATGCAGCCTTGAGTTAAGGTAAAGCATACCTTAACATATTAGCCTGCTCCCTGGAACCAGCCTACACACTTGTACAGTAGGATAGAAGACTTTCTAAGTCTTTCATAGAGATCTTCATGCAATACTTTCATTTTACTATTAAGCCCTGAAATGTTAAAACAGGCGGCAGTCTGAAATTGTTTCTCAGAGAACTGAACTTTCTGATCATGCTCAAAAGCATTATTTTAAAGATTTTCTTGCTATTTCATTAACTAACTGTTTGGTAAAATATAATTTTAACCACAATACCTGAGAGAGAAGGGGGTGAACCAACAGGAGTTGAAGGATTTGATGAAAAGCTGTTGTTGGTATGATCTGGAGAGTAAATCTTTAAAAGATAATACAGAATTAATCTAAAGTCACTTGGAATGGATACAGACAGAGGATTGGCACTCTTCATTATAAATATACTTATACTTATGACTCATAAGATGAAAAGGATGCTATGAAGAACATGAAACCACTATGACAAAAACACTATGAGGTAATAAGACAGTTGTGATGAAGGACAGCTTGTGGGAGGTTTTAGTTTATCCCTTAGATTAAATTATCATAGTAGGTTCTTCAGTACTAAAATATGTATACTGTACATATAAATGGAGGGGGGAATCAGAAAATTACTTCAATTTAAGCTAAATATCTTAAATTATTATAGGAGTCAAGTTTTGTAAATAAAACATTGAAATATAGAATAGTGAAAAATACTTATTGAAGTAAACTCTACAAAATAGAAGATGGAAAAATAATCCTGACTGATGTGTACAACTGCATATACATGGCTGAGTAAGTATATTAGAGCTTTTAGTTAAGATTCTCAAGGGTTTATCTACTTAATACCCTGAATGGATAAAACTTCTGTGATCATTTGGGACCTGATTAGAAATCATAAACATCATTAGACTCTTATCTTGTCAAATTATCAAAGCAGACCATGCTGGGAATTCATATTGGCCACTATTTAAGCTGGGCTCATGAACTTTTCCTTAGGGTTCTGCAGAGGCAATTAAATTAATTAACCCCTTGATCATCTCTCAGTTAACCAATGCCTCCAGGCACCAGTTAAAGTAGATTTTGTACTGTATCCATTATTTGGGAGTTGTGCTAATTTTTGTCTTTGTTAACATATGTTAGCTGGACATGGAAAACATCAATTCTCACGAGAACCCCATTGGAACCCCACTCTGCCCAGAAAATACATTACAGTGAGAGTTCATTTAAAAGTCAACGTTAAGTTTTAATTTGTAGAAATGCACTGTGCTGTATATATACTTAATGGATCCTTACCCAAATCAGAGATGGAAATAAATAGAATGGGTGGCAATTGGAAGTCAAGGCTGGCTTTTAAATAACTGCAGCAAAACAGATTGAGAGGCCCTTTGATCTTTTTATCCTGACTTCTGGGAGTCTGCTTTCCCATATGCAGTGCCTAAGCAGATAGTATATCATCCAAATTACTGAAAGATGTGAACTGGGGAATGATGATACGGTTTCGGATTACAGATTCATCACCTCACCAGGAAGTAGTAATTCTATGGAAAAGATTCATAAGCTTGGTCCCTGCCCGCATGGGTGGATTATATCTCCAAGGACCTATGCATAAAAAAGCAGGTTCCTTTAGGGAGCTGTTCAAAGGCCTTTAAGGCTAAAAAGGGAAATTCAAAATTCAAAATCCTATCCCACTGCAGTGAGACTTACTCCCTTTTACTAATGGGAGACTTGAAAGACACAGTTGAGGTAATCTGGCACTGAGATCAGGGGTGGGATCCAAATTGGTTTACCACCGGTTCGGTGGGCGTGGGTTGGTGGGTATGCTTTGTGCGTGCGCGCTTTTGTATGTGCCCAGAGGCATTTCCTATTCAATTTCTCCTGCACTCTCCCTGTGTCTTCAACAGCTGACTTGCGGCAATCCGCTATGCCGTGCGATGCAGCTGAGCATCAAAAGCAGGAAAAAAAGGTCAGTATGGATCCAGGGTGGGCAGGTGGGCCCAGCAGCTGATTGTCGGAGCAAACTGGTTCACTCCCAGATGATCTTTGGAGCTACTGGTTCAGGCGAACCGGGCCGAACCGGTAGAATCCCACCCGATTGAGATAGGGATAATTTTTGAATTATCAAAAATTAGACCCAGGCTCTAACGTAAATGTACAGCAAATTCATATTTAGGAGCTATTCAAATGATTCCATCTATCCAGATTAATTATGGCCATGTCCCAAAAAACTTTACAATGATGTAAAATAGGCATCTGAATCAGAAATTTTAACATCCTTACAGGATGTAAACTCCCAGCATTCTTTGGATGAAAATACGTAGTCCTTGGATTATGACCAATCCCTTTAATGTTACAACTGACCCGAAAAAGAGGACTTATGACATGGATCTGAAGTTCTGATGGTACCTACTCTCCCAGTTGTGTGACTGCACTTGGGTGCTATGCATGTCTGTTTGCAGTGTTATGTGCCTTGTTTCACAGTGGCTTTGCAGAAAGCCAGCATTGCTTTTTTCACAAAAACATGCCATAATAAACAACAGGTTTGCTTAATTACTGTGGGGTGTGCTAAATGAGTCATTTTATGACTGTTATGACCAAAATGGACATTACAGTCGTAACCTGAGGACTACCTCAAATTCAAATTGGTTTAAATATGGTTTAGGTTTCAAATGAGACCAGGAAACCACTACAGGGCAGGCTTGGCTACTGAATCATGTAACATAAGCTTCTTACGATTTCCATGTGAATGGAAAACTATAAAGCACTGCCTTCAATTAAGAATTTATCTCGAGTTATCTATATTTTGCAGAGCGATGTGTCTTGACATGCTTTTATTCTCAATTATTTTAACTGGCCACGATAGATTTGTGCATATGTGGTTACTGATTCCAACCCAAGTTCATGCTATTCAAATCATCCAAAGCAAATACTTTCTTACAGATGCAAGTGCTTTTCCCAGCGCATCGCCTGTCTGTGAACTTCCTGCAGCTCCGCTTCCTCTGTTTGCTGAAAAACAAAACACAAAATAAAACAAAACACAAAAACACACACACATGAAAACAAGAAAATGAATCTTTTTTTCCATACACTGCACCCATATCCATAATTCAGCTGCATTTTAATGGTGAGTTATACAAATCGTAATTAGCATTACTATTATTAATTATGGTGGATTTCATACATCTCAAACATACCTCTCATATTTCATGTTCAAAATGTTTTTTGTTGCAAGCTATTTCAATCTAGTCTTCTTTCTGTGGTGAGTGAGATACAGAGCAGTGGGTCTTTGTACAGTATTAACCTAGCATTTTACAAGAAGAGAACTGCAAGGCACCCTAGATGTTTTATTTTGCCATTCTCTTTTTGGCTAAAGAACAGAAGGCCTTATTCAACTGTCTTCAAATATATAGAGATGGGAGACTGAAATCAGCACAATTCTATATTGTGTCCCCCTTAAAGTAAAGACCTAACTCATTGCCTCTATCCTACATTTAATCATGCTGAGGAAGCCAGATGTCTTATGTCAGTCCTTTGAGGCAGATAGCATCAGGAAGCAAAGGCCACAACAATTATTAGAATTGTATCATTAGAAGGCATAGTAACAGAATCTTGAAATCCTGACTGAGATTTACTCAATCTCCTCTTATACTACAGGAGAAACTAAACACGGGAATCTTGAGGTTTTTCCCCTCACCCTCTCCTGCCTATATGGGCTAAGTAGTGGTTTGCACAACAGTTTTTGAATCCCTTCTTCAAAGCCATCTCCATGCCTGCTTAAAACTTGGAACAAAATTACTCCAAATAAGGCATTCTGAAAATCTGAAATCACCTCTCACTGGGAATATCTGACTTTATAGAGTTGCTATTGTGTGGAAAAATATGAGGGGGCGGGATACTGCCGTGAGCTCCAGTACAAAAGATGAGATATTATCTAATAAGTAAATAAATAGATTTCACAGTCCACTTTTCAGAACCAAGAACAACACACGGAGTTACTTCTGAATAGTTCTTTTATTGTTGCTTGCCTACAAACAGAATCTTGCCCAAACTAAAGCAATTATCTGCCATAAGTATATTCTGTGAATTGCTTGGGAGAATCCGACCTTGTTTTCTTCCTGTTCACCAGACATTCAATAGGGAAGGGACCTTAGAGGTCTAGTCCAACCCCTTGGTTAGGCAGGAAACCCTACATCACTTCTGACAAATGGTTATCCAATCTCTTCTTAAAAACTTCCAGTGTTGGAGCATTTACAACTTCTGGAGGCAAGTTGTTCCACTGATTAATTGTTCTAACTGTCAGGAAATTTCTCCTTAGTTCTAAGTTGCTTCTCTCCTTGATTAGTTTCCACCCACTGCTTCTTGTCCTGCCCTCAGGTGCTTTGGAGAATAGCTTGACTCCCTCTTCTTTGTGGCAGCTCCAAGCCCTCTGGGAAAAAGGCCATCTCTCCTGTGATTCCAGACTACAATCAACTACACTGCTTCATGTAACTTGCAAAGGTAACAGATGGCTTTGCATAAGATAATTCAAAAATTATTTGAGTGATCCCATTGTGATCCACACATAATGCCAATGAAGTGGGGTCAAGAAAACTGCGCACATGAATTCATCAGGAATAGAGCTCCACTCAGAGCCTTTATCTTTATGAACTAATGGTGTGACCTCAAGCCTTGTGTTCTGTCCAACTCAAATAACATCATCAAACCCATAGCATGAGGGAGCTAATAATTAATCCCATCCTTTTTAAATGTACCAAAAAAATATGTCTGTACCAGAATGTTAAATGCAACTATTTTCATAAGGGTGAAATTATAAAGGTGATATTACGATAATTATAATCCCCATGTTTCTAGCATAATGTCTAAATAATCATCTGCATTAATGGATTTGTTTGTGGATGCCCTTTTTATAATTGTATGAAATATTTTGTATATGCCAAGGTTACATTAAAAATTGTTCTATACAAGTTTCACTGGCAGGAATATAATTGTTCTGACCCAGCTCCCCAAACACGACAAATGTGATGTGAACTCAAAAGATTCCTTTATTAGGAATGCTGGCAATCCCAGCAAAAAGTTTCTCTCACAGACTAACAAGTCAGTCCAACCGGAAGATAAATAGTTGTCTGTCACACCTATTCATCTCCGCCCCCTGCCTTTTATCCCCACAGCTAGGGTGGAGCTTCGCTAGCAGAGGTGGCTCCTCCTTCCCCAGGACAGGCCCATAGATTTCCACTGCTCTCCTCTCCTCTGCCTTCTGCACATCGATGCATCAGGCACTGGACCCAGCTGTTCCTCTTCTTCCTCACCAGCCACCTCCAGATCTGGGGGCTGTTGACTCTCCATCAGAGGGCTGAGGGATGGCCCAGGCTCCCTTCTCTCTCTCTGCCAGCTCCATTCCTTCTTCCCCTCAGAGCTCCCAGATTGCCCTGATGCTGACCCTGACTCCCACACCTCTTCCTCCTCTCATTTGGCTGCTGGAGGGGCTGGAGGCCGACAGGCCACAACAATAATGGTTTTGCAATCTAGAGCCAGCTACACCAAACAAACAAAAAATAAAAATTGAGGACTACTCTGAGTTAATAAATGCAACATCTAGCCTGTTCTCCAGTCTCTAACTTGAATGGGAGCAACGAGTACATTCAGGAAATAGAAAACTTCAGCCAATTTGATATTTTCCTCAGATAAGATGTACTGGCACAGCAGGATAAAATTCATGTCCCTCTTGTGCCATATGACAGTTTAGCACCCCACTGCACTGGAAGCTTACACTAGTAAAAAAATTAAGTGCAGTATTATGTGACTGTTCCCATAATGAAATCACAATAAAACCAAGGCTTCAAGGGAAGGCGCACATCATGTTCCCACTAAAAAAGCCACATACTGCTATGTATCTTGCAATTCAAAAATGTCATTTAAAGTGAGAGTAGAAAGTGGGATTAATACATGAATGAGGCAGATCTTCTGGACTAATCTTTAGCATATGCTACATTAAATCTTTGTTAGTAAGTGGCTGCTTAAAGGCTCTGAATCTTTGAAAACACACAGAAAATACTTTGCATAGATTGAAGCATCGCCTTAAGTTAATATCTTCCAGGTGTTTTTTTTTAATGCCGTGTCGACTCCTAGCGATTGCCTGGACCCATCCCTGTATTTATCGTGGCAACATTTTTGGGCGTGGTTTGCCCTTGCCTTCTTCCTGGGGCTGAAAGAGATTGACTGGCCCCAGGTCATCCAGCCGGTTTCATGTCGAAGGTAGGACTAGAACTCAGTGTCTCCCAATTTCTAGCCTGGTGCCTTACCCACTACACCCAAGTGCTTCTGTTTTAATATCCACCTAGACCCATGATGGCGATCCTATGGCATGCGTGCCGGAGGTGGCACGCAGAGCCCTCTCTGTGGGCATGTGAGCCGTTGCCCCAGCTCGGCTCCACTGTGCATGCACATGTGCCTCCTGCTAGCCAGCTGGTCCGGAGTTCTGCTGAGCATGTGTGGGGGGACAGGGTGCAATATGGTGGGGCGCATGCACAGGGATGCATGCATATGTGGGGATGCACATGCATACGGGGGAAGCACATGCATGCGTGGGGGTGGGGCACATGCATGGGGGCGCATGTGCGGGGGACGTGCGCATATTGCATTTTGGGGATGTGTGCACTTTGGGCACTCGGTGCTGAAAAATTTAGCCATCATGGACCTAGACAATTTCCTTTTGCTTGTTCTGCAATTTTCTCTTAGAATATCACCAGTTAACAATTATTTTCTCTTCAAGTTTCTGTCCTTTTCCAGATTGCAAGTTAACTTTGAGAGGGCAGCCAAGAATGAAATTTAATAATACAAGTTTACTTTTTTGGAGAGCAAAATCAGACCAGGCAAATAAAAGGGGCTGGATTATTCACAGATCAAACTCTTAACCCTGCACTCTTGTTGACTTGAGTTTCCAGTCAGTATAGCAAGAACTCCAACCAAATATCCTTTTTAATCTGTGATTACACAAAAAGCAAAGTTTTCTTCTGTGATATCTGATCAGCTCCACAAGCTCTTTCTCCAGAAAACAGACGAGGAGAAACTGCCGGGACTTGCCTTCTTCAATGTAGTCAGAAGCCTACAACTCACCCATTATACTTTCTGTTCCATTTGCCGGAGGTGTACAGGAAGAAGCACTGTAATGGGTTGTGGCACTGCGATGGAAAGTGGACATTGGAGGAAGACTGGAATTGATGTCTGCTGAGGAGTGTGATGGGTAGCTCTGTGGCACATGGCAGGAAAAGACAACATTTTAGTTAGCAGGTGATGGTTGTACAGAGTTGCTGATTTTCTCATTCATTCATTCACTCACTCACTCACTCATCAAATTTATATAACTGGCTCCATCTCCATTCATGATCTTCAGACCTGCTCACAAAACCACGTTCAGAGAAGCAGCAGGATGCAGTCTAACTGAACGTCAGGGGAGTGCTGTTCCATAAAGAAGGTTCATTGGTATAATGGAACCGCTATTTTTAGGAGATCTCTTATTGCCTATAAACAACCTTGATCACCCAGCTTGGATGGAAAGGTAGAATATAAAAAGACCAATTCAGTGACATCCCCCCAGGGGGATTTTTGGGGGGGGTTTGTACCCTTGTTTCATCCTAAAATCTTTGATATGTAGCTGAGAGACCCACAGGCGTTAAGGTATAGCATGACCTGTTGCAGAACCCCAGCAGAACATACGAACAGTGGATCAAAGAACAAAACTCCATTGTAAGGCTGTAAAAATTGTTCACATTTAAAGGCTGTTTTAAAGATTGTCACGCAAGGAAGGATCTTCAAAGGAAAAAAAAAAGAAAGCATCCTCAAGACAGGGTTCTGCTGCATAGAGTTAGCTTTGCTTGGCCTCCTCCTCATTTTGCAATTAGGATTTAAAGTCTCACACATGTGGGAAAAAAGATTTTATTTTTAAACCATGAAATGTACAGTGGTCTCCCTCTCTCTCTCTCTCTCTCTCTCTCTCTCTCTCTCTCAATGTTGTCCATGAAGAGACACCACATTTCTTCATTTATAATTCTGCTTTTGTCACATAGTTTTTCTTCAGAGGTGGTATTTAGCAGGTTCTGACCAGTTCTGGAGAACCGGTAGCAGAAATTTTGAGTAGTTCGGAGAACCTGCAAATCCTACCACTGACTGGCCCCGCCCCCATCTATTCTCTGCCTCCTAAATCCCAGCTGATCGGCTGGGTCTTCTTTTGTTGCCCTGCACAGGAGAACGGAGCTGGAAAGCAGGTTAATGGGGTGGGGAGGGAATGGGGATTTTACAGTATCTTTCCTCTGCCACGCCCACCACAGAACCGGTAGTAAAAAAAAATTGAATACCACCACTGGTTTTCTTTTAAGCAATGAAATCCATGGCTCTTCTCTTCCAACAGAGATAAACGTGAGTGTGTAAGAGAAAGTGGCTTAAATTGGTTAATAGTTTATCTTCTACATTTGGGCCACACACACACACAGATTGACACATAGTGCTGATTAGTAGCCTTACCAAGCGGTCATGAGGATGAAGACTGCAATAGCTACTGGACTGTGGAATATGAGATGAATTGCCCAACATTCCTCCATATCCAGGAGGATTCATTCCACTGGATGAGTTCCACGGATCACTGCTGTGGTGGCCGTCTGCAAAATGTACAGAAGAAAATATGGCTTCTCTGAATACACGGTTCTCTAACTAACATTCCGAGGTTGTGGTTTTTTTAGCAAATGTTAAAATTAGCATTCTAATAGGGCTTGACGAAGGCCTTATGTGTCACAGTGTTGGATAGTAGCTGACAATAAAAGACAGCAATCACAAGTGGGGAAACTGTGTTGTCATCCTTTGTCACATGGGAGCCACACTAATATTACATAACTGCATGAACATGATTTTTTTTAAAAAAGTTTTCTAAACAGGAGTGCAAATGACATTTCTGAAATTACCACTGATTAGTCAGAGATATTCTGTGCAATTTTAAAAACATTTGTGCTATTTTTATCAGAAACCTACACAGTTGTGACCTACATTGTTATTAATCCTTGCTCAATATGTTTCTTTAAAAGAGCATTTAAATAAGAGTCTAAATAGATTCTGGGGTTTTATTTTATCACACAAATATTTTGATTCCAAGACTTGACTTTTTGGCCAACTTCATATCCCAATGTCATATATAGAATATTTATGAATCAGAACAGAGATATGTATGATTTAGGAAGATGCTCAGAAACTTTTCCTATAGACAGACATTTACCAACAAAAGCTAATTGGAAAAGATACATATTTAAACTTAAAAGAAATTTGTCCCCAGAATTTTGTCTTTTCTACCTTTCAGTTGATGAACCCTTATTTTTTGATCTCAGATACTTGGTTTAGGGGAAAAGTTGAGAGATAGCTAAAACATCATTATGCTTTTAGGGTTATAGATCAAAATACAAGGATCAACTAAACAGAACTCATTATTTTGCAATAAATTTTAGAGTAAAATACATTATGAGCTATTTTAAGATAAGGCGTAAACACATCTATTTTCTTCCTGACAATAAATTGGTGCCTAGTCTCACAGATTAACAAAACAATCTGGAATGTGTTATTTGAGTTTTGATTACTCAGAAGATATCTAATGTACTACTTATCAGGCGATCCAAGAATATTAAGCAGTTATGTTTATCCACATGAAAAGTACAATAAAGTCAAACTTTCAATAGTATAAGCCACAAGGGTAAATTGTAAGGCTCTGGGGATGTTCCTGAATCTGCCTTCCAATATCCTTGAAGGAAATTAAATCAAGGAAGCATAAACACTGTTTAAAAGTTGGAAGTATGGTTGCATATCATATTTGTGGGTCAAATGTGAAGCTCTGTCTGGTTATTGGAATCTAATTGTTTCTGCCTTGCTGCAAATTTATTTGACAATAACCCAAAACTCTCTTTGAACTCAACTTTCAAGAAGACAGCAAATTGTTAACAACCATTGAGGAAGCTGGGCTATACAGAAAGTAATCTTTAGCTTAAGTTAGAAGGATCAATCCATGTCTACTTTCTATCTTTAATAAATCTATGTCAATACACTCATCATAATGGGCAACATGAAACAATTTTCTCAAAGATTTTGATTGGATTGTTCATAAGGGGGTAACCGTCTAAAACAGGGGTGTCCAACTCGATTTCAATGAGGGCCACATCAGGGTTGTGTTTGACCTCAGGGGTCTGAGGTAGGTGTGACCAGCTTGATGTCACTCAGGGGCGCCTGTGGTGGTCTGAGTGCTCTGCCAGAGAAAATGGGCCTCTTGCAACCCTCTGCCAGTGAAAATGGAGCTCATGAGGACCTCCTGCAGCCCTCCCGAGCTCCATTTTTGCTGGCAGAGGCACTGAGGGCCTTTGCTATTTCCAGGACGGCCCCATGGGCCAGATCTAAGCACCCTGTGGGCTGGATCTGGCCCCCAGGCCTTGAGTTTGACACCGCTGATCTAAAATTTAAATAAGGAGCTGACCAACAATAAATGTAGCTGGGATGTAACCGACTCCTCTCTAGCACAGAAAAAGGGTGCAATCTCTTTAAATTACAGGTAGTCCTCAACTTATGACCACAATTGAGTCCAAAATTGATCTTGCTAAGTGAAACCTTTTGCTCCATTTTATGACTTTTCTTGCCACTGAATCATTGCAGTTGTTAAGTTAGTAACATGGTGGTTAAGACAGTGAACCAATGGCTTCCCCATCGACTTTGCTTGTCAGAAAGTCGCAAAAGGAGACCAGGTGACCCCGGGACACTGCAGCCGACATAAATATGAAGCAGTTGCCAAACACCTGAATTTTGATCACATGACCACGTGGATGCTACAACGGTCGTAAGTGTGAAAAAGTCATAAATCACTTTTTTTCAGTGCCATTTATAGCTCCAGAGAGTTATAAACACAGCACAAAAAATCATCGGTTGCTCTCTTTCTTCTTTGGAAGAGAATGCGAAGACAAGACTCCTCTCTAGAACATTAAAAATCTCCACAGACCGTTCTCATCCTGGACATTCATATTTCGAACTGTTACCATCAGGGAGGCGTTTTCGGTGTCTTAAAATGTGGATTGAGAAACAGTTTCTTTTCCAAGGTAATAATTGTCTTGAATCAAACAGTGCATTTGTGATTTAGTCCTATTATTATAATTATTTTAATTTTTAAATACTCTGTAGTGTGATTGTGATGTGGTGTTTGGGGCACTGTGCTGGAGTAGCTTTCAAATTTCATTGTATTCATGGAATGCAATGACAATAAAGGTATTCTTCTATTGTTGAGGACTACCTGTACTTTTGTCATTCTTTATAATGTAACTGGTATATGTTTGCCCATTGAAAGGCATCACTTCCAAAATGTGTATGAAGGGTGATACTTTTAGCACATTCTAATTTTTAAAACTAAAATTCACTTTCAAGTCCATGGTGTGTAAACTTGATCTCCCTTTAAAAAAAAAGTGTGCAAGATGCTTTGCTGGTTTTGATTAAAGTTCTGGTAAGATTACTCATCCTATGAATGACCAGTGAGATAACACCTTGGCCAGCTTACAAAGATGATGTGAAAGTGATAGCTTCTCATTGCTATGTGTTCTAATTACCTGGTATTCAGCAATATACCCTAATTCCCCTCCCACCTTTTATTTTTATCATCGGAACAACAGAATACATCTTTGGTCAGACTAAGAAATAGTAACTTGCCCAAAGCCAGACACTGAGTTGGCTAATTAAATGGAAAACTACATCGGGGTGTCAAACTTGTGTTGTCATGGCGTTGTCACGTAACGTATCATTCCCCCCCCCTTCGCTAAACCAGGTGTGGGCGTGGTCAGTGCATGACGTATCTGGACCATGGGCCACAAGTTTGACACTCCTGATCTACATGGTGGCTTGTCTATTAGATTCAAATACTCTAATCACTATACTGGCTATAACTGAATTCATTTAGCTAACATGGCTAACAGTTACTGACAGACACATTAATTATGAATTTCCTTATCATCAAAGCCTTTTGTATATAGTGGGGTAATATATTTATCAATGTTCCACCTTTTGAGAAACTTCCAACATGGATATTCCTTGCACCACAGATTTCTGCAGAGGGAATACAGCCATTTGATTGGTCTGCTTTGGATATCTAATGGATTCATATGGTTTCCAGAGGATCCTTGAGGAACATCCTGTGGTCTTGGTTGGCCTAATTGAACCTTGAAATATAGAGGTGGCTGTGCCTTTTACTAAGATTGCTCATAAGGAGCCTTTCCTATTTTTCATCTAGGAGCGCCATTGTCCACTGAAAAGCTTTGGGAGTTGAAGCAGTACATAGGATGCCTAGAGTGGCAATTACATACAACAAGAGAAAATACAACTGAAGATATTTATAAATTCAACTTCAAACCTACTTGATGGCAGTAAGAGCAGTAAAGTATCCATTTTCCATTATTATCAAGATATAGGTTGGGGACCATGAAGCAAATTTGGCCAATAGTCAAAGTTTAGTTTAGTTCAGGAGTCGCCAACCTTTTGGACCTCAGGGACCACCAAACTCATAATTTTAAATCCCACGGACCAGAGACCCTGGGAAAATCCCCCAAAAAATCTGCAGGAAAATTCTCCACCCCATTTTCCCACTGATCGATCATTCTTTATTTGGGATCGCAGGATACCGTCTCCAGCTCTGTTCTCAGGGGGAGAGAGAAAGACTTTTGGCTTCATGTAAGGAAAGCAGCAGAAATCTTTCTTTCTCTCCCTCAAACTCCTCCAGAAATGAGTCTTTGTGAGACTTGTCATGCCGGTGCAGCATCTTGGAGCAGGATGCCTTTCAGGGTCCCAAAGATTTGTTTCTGGCAGAGTTTGGGGGAGAGAAAGAAAGACTTTTGCTGCTTTCCTTGCGTGTAGCCAAAAGCAGAAGAAGCAGAAAGAAGCAGCCCGGTGGCCAGGCGAGGCATGTGGGGCTAGTGGGGCTAATGGTTTCCAGACGATCCTTGAGGAACATCCTGTGGTCTTGGTTGGCCTAACTGAACCTTGAAATATAGAGGTGGGCTGTGCCTTTTACTAAGATTGCTCATAAGGAGCCTTTCCTATTTTTCATCTAGGAGCGCCATTGTCCACTGAAAAGCTTTGGGGGTTGAAGCAGTACATAGGATGCCTAGAGTGGCAATTACATACAACAAGAGAAAATACAACTGAAGATATTTATAAATTCAACTTCAAACCTACTTGATGGCAATAAGAGCAGTAAAGTATCCCCCCTTCGCCCTTTTCCCCCTCCCCTCACTACCTCATGTTGTTCGCAATGCAAGTGATGCCAGCCTTGTGTTCCCATGGTCCATGTGGGCGGCACAGCCTTGTGTTCCTGCGCAGCCTGGATTAACTGCTTTGGGGGTGACATTTCTCTGAGGACCACCAAAATTTTCTCACGGACCACCAGTGGTCCCCAGTCCACTGGTTGGTGACCACTGGTTTAGTTTTACTTTACTGTCAATTGCACCTTGTACAATGAAATTAAATACCATCTTATGACTATGAAAATAAATACAAACACATATCCTTCACATTCTATACATTGAATTGAAAACCCCTGATATTGCATTAATATGCAGTAGAATTCAATAGAGTTACTGCATTGGGATAGAAGCTGTTTTTCAGCCTATTTGTCCTCGTTTTTATTATCCTGTACCGTCTGCCAGATGGTAATAGTTCAAAAAAAGGGTGGATGAGATGGATCTCTGAGAATGTTTTGAACTTTCTTAAGGCAGCAGGAGCTATAAAGCTCTTCCAAAGAGGGGAGAGGGCAACCAATGATCTTCTGGGCAATGACGTTAACCCTCTGGAGTGCTGTCCTATCTGCCACTGTGCAATTGACAAACCATATACAGGTGCAGTAAGTTAAAATACTCTCTATGGTACAATGGTCGAAGGTCACCAGCAGTTTTTCATTCAGTTGTTGTTTTCTGAGAAGTCTCAGGTAGTATAATCTCTGCTGGGCCCTTTTGACAAATGCTGCAATGTGAGCACCCCAGGCCAGGTCCAGAAACTTAAAATTGGCCAGAAAAAAAATACTTTGTTGAGACTGGAAAACCAAACTTGGGGAACAAGAAGCAATAGCACACTTTTCAGTTAGGATTTTGATACGGGAATGCAATTGCATTGGTTGCTATTGTTAATGCCTTATAATGATGTCTTGTCCATGCTCCTACTGGATCTCTCATGTACCTTCAATACTATTGATCTCTGCTTCTTTCTGGACTATCTGTGAGGGTTGGGAGCGAGGGAAACATGACACAGTTCCACACCAGCTGGGCAGAATCAAGGAAACACAGATTTCAGCAAGTTCTGTTTATTGCTAGTTTGGTGGTATATAAAGAATGTCAAAAACTGCAAAGGAAATTTTCCACCCTCCTTCATAGTGCTTTCATTAAGGCGGAGTCTTTTTGAAGTATCTGAAGTGCTTCTTCCTAACTTTCTGGCCACCTGGGCTGAATCCTTGTTTATATGATAAGCTGCTGTCTTTTGATTGTTTATGTCTACTCTCCTTTTTCTTATGAAAGGCTGCATTTTACTCCCAAGGAAAGTAGTCCCAGGAGGTAAAATGAGGATGACATGACATTAGTGCTGTTGTGGATTATGAACTATTCTTGTTTAAATTACATTTGGGGGGCTTTAATTCTCAATACTATTGATACTTTAATTCTCAGTACTATAATGCTACTCAGAGTCAGTCTCTAAAACTCCAAGCAATGAAGAAATGTGGGAAGAAATAATTGTAAACAAATCTCTATATTTTAACAAAAGGAAGCAGCAAAAGAAACACAACATTCAAAGAAGCTAGAACCCCAGAAGGAAACACAAGGGGTTATCACAGGATAAGATCAGTGAATAAGTATTATACGAATAAGTCACACATAACTGTTTATTTAAACGTTTTATTTCTGTTTTTCCCCTAATCGTTTTGTTTTTAAAAGATATTATATATCTCATCTCTGCTATTGGTAATTTTCCTGCCTGCGGTAACTTTTATTCATAAAGAAAAATTCATTCTTTTTAAAACCATGACATGAAGTCATACAGTTTATCGGTCCACTTCTGGACTTTCTTTTTCACTCTGTTGTATTTGTATGTCAAGCTAAGGATAGGAATTATCAACACATCTGGCTGACATGAATTCTAATTCATTAATTAAGTTGGTTCTGAACCTATTTCCTGACAAGTTAATTAGGTGACAATGATGGCTGTGAAAGGTGGTGAAAAAGTTATTCTCTGGAATGAAAAAAAAAATATTTTACAGAACATTCATAACATCAGTTATCTGCTAATAAAAGGGTCTGATATCTTTTCTACAGTGATATAACAGAAAAGATAAGCAAGAAACTTTTGAGAAATTAAAATATCTACAAAAATATCCCAAAGGTGCTTTTTTTCAAGAGGCAACTGGACTTTCTGGTTTTTCTTTGAAGACATTTTGCTTCTCATCCAAGAAACTTTCTGAGCTCTGACTGAACTGAAGGATCCTTCCATTCCCCACCATCCAGTCAGAGCTGAAGAAGCTTCTTGGATGAGAAATGAAACATCTTCAAAGAAAAACCAGAAAGTCCAGTTGCCTCTTGAAAAAAAGCACCTTTGGGAGAACCATTACTTGGATGACTGAGAATTTTCATAGACATCTACAAAAATAGTTTTGCCTTACCTGATGTCCTATATATGGTTGAGCCAAAATTCTAATAATTTGGCTTCTTTGCTGTTTTTGTTTCCCCACCCCCGAACCGTCTCATTATTCTATTGATTTCTATCTTGATTCACTGACTTTTTATTTTAGTACATTAGTTTTTGTATGTTGTGAAAAGCTGTGTAGGTATGTTTGCATAAACACACAAAACTCTGTTCATATATTACAGAATCAAATTCAGCCAATGTACAATACATAAATTGAATCAAAAAAACTCAAAGGGAGAAAACATTGGCAAATTCCCCCAATTATACTTGAAGCTTAGTTATAACTGAGAAGATTTAAAATTCAGTCAATGAAGGAAAAATGATTCAAAGAAAAATGCAGTTATTTTTATTTTATTTATTTTCTTATTACATTTTTATGCCACCCCCTCCCCTATAAGGTGGTGGTGTTCAGCAGGTTCTGACCAGTTCTGGAGAACCAGTAGCGGAAATTTTGAGTAGTTCGGAGAACTGGCAGATACCACCTCTGACTGGAGATTTTACAGTATCCTTCCCCTGCCACGCCCACAGAACCGGTAGTAAAAAATTTTGAATCTCATCACTGTCTATAAGGATCTACAATTTAAAGGGAAAAAAAAAACTGTACCAAATTTAAGAGCCAAGATGCCATTCCATAAGGAAGAGCAATGAGAGTAGATGAGGCAAATTAAAATCCTTGCAAATTTCCCCGCCTGTTTCTTTCTAGTTGCGTTGGTTTGTAACTCCCTGCATGGCCAATGATGCATGAGAAAAGTGGGTTTGTGGTTTTCATGGAGCTCAAACAATATTATTATTAATAAATACAGCTATGGAATATAACGTTTTTAGTATCATTTTTTCTCCATCAATGATTGGTTTACATATAAAGTCTCATTTCTGAGATTATATTTAAGGTGAGTGAATGACTCCTCTCCATGTGTGACTGATTACACTGAGGTTTTTCCTGATCAATGTAATTGCTCTATCAATTGAATATTGTTACAAACCATTTGACCTACAATGCTAATATTATAAGATAATTCTTTGAACTGAATGCAAAGAACTGAACACGTTCATCCCATGAGCTGTTTTTATACAAAATATTTTTGTGTGTATCCAACACTAGGGCTTCAAGGTTGTGATTGAAACCATGCCAAAGGGCAGTAAGGCCCACTGAATATGATTAGACTTACAGCATGCATCAGATTGTTTTGCACATCTTGCTGAAAATATCTGTAATCAAGGATTTCCACTAGAGAAAATTAAACCTATCATTATTTCTTGAGCACTATTATGCTCCATTGGTGTTCAGAGTTTGGAATGCTGCATTTCAGATCTTACTCCTTAATTTCAAGTGGAAGGAAGAGGCATACAGATACATTTTTCTTCATGTTTACCACTCTTCCCAATGAATAGCAATAGCACTTAGACTTATCTACGCTTTACAGTGCTTTACAGCCCTCTCTAAGCTGTTTACAGAGTCAACATATTGCCCACCAAAATATGGGACCTCATTTTACCCACCTTGGAAGGATGGAAGGCTGAATCAACTTGAGCCTGGTGAGATTCGAACTGTCAAATTGCAGTCAGCAGAAGTAGCCTGCAGTACTGCATTCTAACCACCGCACCACCATGTTTCAATGTTAAGATCTGGGTAAGGGACAGCTCCATTTTGACCCAGGAGCCCAGCAATTTATGTTTACATCAAATCATGAGCACATTTGCTATGTAGGAGTCTGTGTGTCTGAATTCAAAGTGGCACTAATACTATTATTTCACTCCCAAATATGTTCGCTTCCATAAACATTTGGAAGAGCAACAAAGTAAGCAACGTTGCATATTGTGAATTCGTATTTGGCAGCAAAACCGACTGTACAAAATGTTTATTAAAAGATCCCTTTCAATCTGCAATATGTCTTGTGGCCTTGATCGTCCTTTATCTGTCTGGCATGCTACTATGTTAACCTCTTCGCTTTGAAAGAGAAATCAAGATTGCCTGGAATTGTCCATCTGGCAGGAAACTCTGTAAACAAAGAACTGAGCTCAGGACTTCAGTGTCCTGTCCAATGACCCTTAAGGACACGCATCAGAAAATCCCTTCTTTGATAACATCCTACCTTGCATGAAGAAAGAACTAGGGAAAGTGCTGGCTGCTGGTTTTGAGGATGGATAGCCGGGCGAATCCCGATTGTAATCGGCAGTGCTTGCAGAAGGGGCATAAACCTATGGACAGAAAAAACAAGACCAAAAAATTAAATGCACTAATAGTTTTCCAAGAATTGGAATTTTTAAATTTGTTAAAACTGTACAGCACCACTATATGATTCTCTTTATTGGTACATGACTGTATTTTAAAACTTACTTTAGCAAATATTGAATCTACCAGCGAAACTCTCCTCTTGTAACCTTCAATTGGATAAAACAGCGCATCGCAGGGAAACAATCTTTGCAAATGTTAACTCAAATGGATTATCTCATTAAAAACGAGCCCAAAATCTGGAACCCATGACTACTGTGGGACTGAAATTTGGCAAACATATGGCCTTTTCCATATCACTGCCAGTCATCCATGATCATGTGATCACCATTTCCAATGTGCCCTGCCAGATTCCCACAAGGAAAGTCAATGGGGAAGATGGCAGGAAGTCAGAAGTTTCCTCCACTCCCACTATTTTTTGCCTGCCTGTGGTCATTCTGTTTCTTTTTTAGGTCAGGAAATGTCTTTGAAACTATGACCCAACAGGTCACGGTTTGTCTAGTCGATGATAAAACGACTAAAATTTTCTCCATGAAAACCTCTCCTATTGAGGGATCACACACCTGTGTCCCCTTTTCAATGAATTCAGATCCTGGGAGTATACACTTAAAAGGCCCACCCTAGTATTCCCATCCAATATAAATCCAAATATATATTCACAAAACAGATAAACTTATCCCTCAGGATGGTTTTTTTTTTTTTTTTTTGCCATCTAAGTAGCATTTTTGTGGTAAAAGTCTACTCAATGAGATATTAAAGGCTCATAATTTTACTGTGGCATGCCAGCTTCTTATTCAGTTATTTTCTTTAAAAAATTTCTTTTTGAAAAAAATAGGGATGGAATCATGACCCTCATAGAAAACACAAGACATATTTGGGACCCCTTAGGAACAATGGAACATACATCAGTTCTGAGATGAAAAGGCATAGCATCAGCATACTACCAGAGAGCCATTAAGTTTTATGAACAATATGTTTTAGATCCTCCTCCAGTTTTCTTCAACCACAAGGAACTTTAGACATAGCTTGGGCCAAGTCACCTAGTGAAAATCTGTGGTTGACAATGGAACTGAATCCTTCAGAGTGTCTCCATTCTTAGTCTGATGCCTCAATCAAACAGGCTCAATCCTGTTTATTTTTCTGTTACACATTTTCACCCCTCTGTATTATCCTTTACTGCCTCTGTTCTCCGATGTGAAAAAAGGCTGTGGAAGCACTTTCCTGAACATGCCTTCTCTTGGGACTTGAAGCTCTGGAAGCCAATGAAGCTGCTGACCTCAGGGAAATGATTTCACAGTGAAAGAGAAGACATACATTCTGAAGTTTGATATTATTGCATGCCCTAGCACATTGTTCAAGAATGAAATATGGTAGTTTGAAAAAATAAATAAAGTGCTTAGGTTAGGCTGCATCTATTCAACAGACAATTTCTTCCATTCCTGAAATGAAATCTATCTGGCCCCGGAAATCTGAATGTATCTGTACATCACACTGGAGTTAAAAACCCAAACACGATTATTATAACTAACTTGAATTTAGACTGCACTACAAATGAATGCAAATTTGAATTTAATCTGTACTATTTTAAAATGAAGAATGGAATCACGCATGATTGAATAACTGGTACGCAAGGGAGAACAAAAAAACTAGATCAGAATGTTTCTTCTTGATTATATTATTTTGAATAGACAAATATTATTATCCTATGGAAGATACACAATCATGCTGGTTCTTCTAGCCATATTAATAGCAGAATGCAAATGCAATTTACTGCCCAAATGCCTTATCACTGCAGAACTTTGTATCTGCTCATACTTCCTTATTTTCAAACCCACAAATTCGTCACCACAGGGAGGAGGAATTCTGGCAGAAAATATGATTGAAACAAGCTGTAAGAAATAAAATAGGAGTCGACATGAGAGATACCTATGCAGTTAGTCCTCAACATACGATTGTGATGCCAGTTTTTATGACCTGTTTTTATGACCTGCGGTCATTAAGCAAATCCATTGCTCAGGAGTGTTTTTGCTGAAATGTTGGTTTTCAGCAAAAATGTCATTCACGCTCAACTGACCATGGGATGCTGCAAACAGCTGTAAATGCAGACCAGTTGCTAAGTGCCCAAAATGCGGTCATGTGACTGTGGAGCGGGGAGCAGCCACTAGAACTTCAAAACTGGGCCGTAAGTATCTTTGGTATGGGGGGGGGGGGGAAATGTTGTAACCTCAGTTACTAAACAACCAGTTGTAAGTTGGGGACTATCTTTACACCAGACAGCATACATAACAAAACCATTTAGGCTGAAGCAGAATTTCTGAACTTGAAAAGGAAAAAAATATTGTTCTACAGTATCATATCTGCTGCCCCTGAAAGTCAATACTCTGTAAGGCATAGTGTATATCTGGAAGAATTGTAATATCATGAAGGTAATTTTTAAAAAGTCTCTAAACTGATCTATTATATGGAAGTGGAGTTCAAACCTTAACGGAACAATGTAAGAAACCATCAAATCATTCCTTTGTTCCCAAGACTAGAAATGGAATTTCAAAAGCATGACTCAAAAGCACTGAAAGTTCTAAACACATCCCAGGATACTAAACCTGCTCTTTTTTTGAGAAGCTCAAAATAACTAGTAAAAATCCAGATCAGCCCAGGACCACCAAAGCAGTGTGCATACATTTGGGGGGTTGAGGCACCTCTTTTTTAGTGCTCCGCATATTTGTGCATACAGTAAACTTAGTAAATATGCCAAAACTTCATTTACTTAACATTTGTTTACTAATAAGCAGACATTTTCCCCCCCTAACAATTCTTTCCAGGGGTGAAAGCAAACTCTATTTAAAAACTTTGATTTCTTATAAGTGCCTGGGCACTTCAGAGTTCCTGGATAATTATTATTTTTTATTTGTTGACTATATATACAGATATTTGTATATTTAATGTTTCTGTTTTTTTAAGATCTTCCAATTCCAGATGGTCAGGAAGACCAAAACATTCTTATTATCTTGATGAAAATGGATACTTTCCTGTCTTCATTTTGAAACAAGCAAGGAGGGATATCACAAACTAGCCACAGTCTTATTGGGATATTGACATGTTACAGCAAAATGAATGGAAAAAATAATCACAAAGCCAGAAGGGGAAAGAAGAATACAAATATACATCTTACAAACAGGACAATAGTTCACTTCAGAGAATAAATGCTGCAACCAAGGAGAGAGATCCTAAAAATAATGAATGATGACCATAATAAGGATACAATGCTTTAGTGTATACTCTTGCACAAATGTTCTCAGAATATTTTAATGCTTGGATAGAAAGCATTGTTTTAGTCCTGATCATAATTATTATACAGAAGTAAGTTAGAAGACTTTTTGGGGAAGTATTTGAAATAACTGCATTTTAGAGAAAGAGCAGATGCATAGAATCCAAAGGGTGGGAGAGTGGTAGATGGTGATGTCATCTTTAATGCTTTGTCCATTATGTTTTTGTTAATTATTTATTAAGCAATTTTATTATAGGCAGAGCCCAAAGGACAATTGAACTCCTTTTTTTTTTAAAGAACCAGAAGTGTTGCTATCATAATTAACCACTTGCAGATATATCCACGTAGGCTAAGAGCAGCGTAACCATGCAGTCCATCCCATTTCTATAATCCATTTTCTGGATTCAGTTTAATATCACATCAAACCAAAAGATAATTTTATCCGGATGGGAGGACCTGGCTCAACTGCGGGCCTGCATTTATTTATTTATTTAAGTTGGGGTTTGCAAACTAACCTAGGAGAAAATGTGAGTGAATTCGCAGGGTTTGGCTAAAAGCATCCTGGAACATCAGGAGCACAAACAAAGGCAGCGCTTCTATGATAGACCTGGCTGGGATGTTTTCTGGTCTTAGGCTGTGCCATCTGGAATGGGAAAGTTTGCTTTCTCATTCAATACACTCCACCGGAGAATAACAAAGAAAAGTCACATTTAGGTTAATGGCTCCTTTAGGGATTGATGTGGCAAGCAGTAGCAATCACTTCACATTCCAAATGAATGAGAGACTGGATAGCTGAACACTGTTTCTCAACATAAAATATCATGCACGTGCACCCATGTGCACCTCCCCAACCTATTAGAACAATGAAGACTTTTTCCTCTAATTTCTTTGCTTTATGTTTGGGGATAGCCTGGATAAACACCCATACACACAATATGTTTCCCTGAGGATGGTCTCCAGTACAAGTCCGAAAGCTCAGGAGATTAAATCCGGTGACCGACCCAGAATGGATCCTGCAACATTATACTGGGACACCTGTACTTGACTTCATTCATTCTCATTCTCATTCTCTCTCTCTCTCTCTCTCTCTCTCTCTCTCTCTCACACACACACACACACACACACTGTACACTTGTGTGTTCAGCAATGAAAAGCTCCTCTTGTAGATGTTTATCCTGGACTTGTGTTGGTCTGTCTTAAATCTTCTTTGTAGGGTGCAACAGAGGACAAGAGGTGTTGAAGTCCAGCCTGAACAGAATCCAGTAAGAGGATTGTGGGAACTGCCTTCAGAGGGGTATGTTATGAAGAATGAAATGGAAAAAAAATCTGGAATATCACATTTGTACTGGCAGAAAGTCTCTGTGTTTTCCATATTCTCATTTATAAAAGTTTCCAGAATATCGTAAAAGGTTGCACGAGGGAGAAGAATATGTGAATCTTTTCTCTACATACACATGGAGAATTTTTAATGAGGATTTTTGGAAATCAAAAAGAAGGACTGGACAAAAATATACCTGATTATTTTGCATAATGGGTAGAAGTTGTTCGAATGTGGTATCATGGGAATCTGAAATAACAAAAATTATTATAAATGTCTGTGTTCTAATAGTTAACTGCCCATAAGAGAACATTCAGTACTTCTGGGATATGAAGGAAATAACCTCAGTAAAAAAATTCTCTCCAAATTCTTGGAAGTTTCTC